TACGTAACATTAAATAAACATAAAATATTTTAAGATAGTATGATGTAAGTAAATCAGTGTATGTGTTGAGATCCACTATCGTGGACCCCCATTTTCATTTCATGGACCCCCAAATTTTTTTTCGCTAACGTAGACCCCTTGCAGGTTGTCATAGACCCCTAGGGGTCGATATAGACCACTTTGAGAATCACTGATCTAAACCATTCTCGAATCCACCAGGTTCATCCGTTTAGGAGGAGTACAGTGACATACACATGTACAGATGAATCGTATATATAAAGATATATACACAATGTTAAAAAACCGTGGTCCGTTTCTGTAGTGAAAAACTTACAAAGTACAAAGAGGTGGAGGCCAGAGGCGTGTGCCAATAAGGTTCCCGTTCTTAGGATTTTTACTCACGAGAGCGCCTCAGCTGTCACCATACGAAAACTCGTATTTTTTTTATATTTTAATAAAGGTATTGGAGTTCTATTGTTATATTCAAATAAACCTATTACTTCTTATAGACCAGGGCTAATGCCTTTAAAAATGGTAAAAAGTGAAAAATAAAATAACAGTAGGATGAAACTCATTGGAGGATAGAATATGATAAAAATGATAGGAAAAATAAATTACGGGCGATCCGAGTTCAAGAAGTGGGCGGGGGTTAAGGCTAAACACGGTTTATCTCGATTTCCGGCAAAACTTCAAAGGCCTATGGATAAAAGGTTAAATGGCAAATCAATCATCAATAATCTGTATTTTATTTTTATCTTTTACAAAAAGGTATTTTTGTTCACGAAATTTTGTGAAAACTTTCCTTTTTATGTCCTAAATACACTGTATTTTATTTGATTTGAAGTTTTTATTATTTCACTTTATTTTGACTCAATATCGAAAAAGCACACTAATATTCAATCGAATATTCTCATTATCGAATATTCTAATATTCGAAATCGAATATTCTAAAATATCAGCATTTTTAAAAAAGTCGTGAGCTATTTGTTCGTTGAAGTTGTTCTCAACTTTCATATGGTATAAAAAAATACATGGTAAATGTTCTCAGAAAATGAAAACATAAAGAACGTAATTATTATAAAGTATCTACAATTCTACATTCAATAGATTCATAACATTTACAATTTCATCGAAAAAACGTTACTGCTGCAATGTTTTTTAGTGAAAAAGATGATTTATTAAATTCTATTTAAAATGATGTCTTAGAAAATCTCATAATATATAAATATACATGGAAATCGTACTTGGTTGGCCAAGCATCTTCAGTCGTACCCGTCACATACTTTGTAAGCATACCCGTATATTATTAGATACTGAATGAGAAGATTATATGTTTCCTTTATTAAAATCTCAATTATTATAAGCAAATCACTGTATCACGTCTTTTTCGGAATAAAATATTATTATCATACAGCTGCTGAATAGTTATGCTTAGCCGCGGCGTTAAGCCTAGGACATAAACTTTATGTCCTAGGCTTAACGTTATTTATTTAAGAATTGATGTGCGTTGATCCCACGGACCTAAAGTTTCAACAGCAAAAGGCACAAATAGATAATCTAAACATAAAGATGAGAGGCAGCCAAAGTGTCTACACTAGTGGCGTCCCAAACAAGGGCTTTGCCTCTCTCCCGAGGGATCAAAGTTAAACCGTCGGGTCTCTTACCATCGTCGCGAAAAATGCCACAGGGCCCTAAAATAGATGGAACATTGATGGAAACAAGAGCCTTACGGATGACGCCGTTCAGGGAACCGTGGCGGGAAAAGCGGCCAGCACTTTGTTGACAAGAAAGCCCGTGGCAACCAAATTTGTCTACACTGACACCACAAGGGCATTGGTGGGGTTGACAAATCGGTGCCCCACTGGCACGCTCTAAATTACTTTCTAAAGATTGAAACGTATCTTTCTGAACTCTCCGCACCAAAGGAACATCAGATAGACAGCCAAGACATCCTTGCCTCTTCGGCTTACGAAAGTTCTGAATTGTGATTAAGGATATAATTATTTACGCTATGTACCGAAGGAGGAAGGCAGGTAGAGCGACACTAGAAATTTTCCTTACACTAATACCACCAAAAAAATAAAAAATAAATGAATCACATATTCAGCTGGCTAATCATAAGATAATCAAAGGATTAGCGATAGATATATTTAACTGTGATAGCCCACGCAACAGTTCGCACGAACAAACAGTCAAGTCCGTCAGGGTAATTGCAACAACTACGCAGAAGACCGGCGTGAAATGGAAATTTCGTACTTCTGCTTTTCGTCTGGTGAGTGAGGTACCCGGGGCCCACTTTATTAAAAGGTAGCAACGCATCTGCAACTCTACGGGCGTTACAAAGGTCCATGGGTGGCGGTTATCACTTAATATCAGGTCAACCGCCAGCTCTTGCCACATTCTCACCCAAAAAAAAGAGCAATTGGCAGGACGGGCCGACCGTCATCCGTCGATGTCTACATTAGAGCTTAGTCGCCTCTACTAGTACGAGCAATGGTAAAAGCTAAGCAGGCGTAAGACCGTTATGGCCGCATAGCATCCAGATCAACAGAGATTTTATCAGGAACCATGCTCTCTAAACGTTGTCGGCCGAATAAAATAATATAGTAGTCACGCCGATTTTTTCTCGCGAACGTAAGACGTTGAAAGCGCGCTACGCCTTCTTTGCCAATTACAATTTAAATTAGTTATGTAAATTACTCCAAGATTGAGGTGTAAACATAAAACTTGTATTTTATGTTTAGTTTAGACTGAGAGTTAATAATGTTTTTTTGGGGTCACCCCAAAAAAAACAACTATTAATGTTGAAATAAACTTCAATTGGAAATGATCGTTCCTCATCGTTCGTTCGTTCATCATTTGTTTTATTAAAACACCTTATTTACTCAAGAGTTTAGATACTGAAAATTAATATTTTTACAATGTGGCGTACATTACACCTATACAACGTGTCTTTACAATCGCGACAATAAATGAACACACATATATGGGATAACTTTTTAAAATTGTATTAAACATTTATAATCTTTAAACATCAATATTTACAGACTTATTCAATTTTCCAAAACAAAGAATTTTAGAACATCCTTACGTATAAAACTGTAACGTAAAGTTCATTTGTAAAGGTCACAAAGGATTGAATGAATTTAAAAGAGACAAAACATACTGTTAAAAGGAGAGGCTTGTAATGCGACGCTGTGGCGCGAATGTATAGAATGTTACAAATTTTGTTTCTTTTTTACTTAATTAGTTTGTTTAAAAATAAATTTTTTTGTAATTATGTATTTTGTTTAACGTTAATATTTTTTTTATGATTATTGGCAAGTAGCGTTAGACGATTGTTCATTTATTGTCGCGATGGTAACGACACGCTGTATACTAGAAATACTTTTGTTATTTATTCTAATCCTTTGCACAATTGCGTGAGCTGCGCTTACGAATATGCAGAGATTACAACATGGCGCGCGTGTTTTCTGTCATTGCAAGATCTGTGTGCAATTCATATTTTAGCGATGTAAACAGTTTAGTATGCCGTGCAACATATTCCTAACATGTTTGTTTAATGTATTGCCTAGGTAGTTACGGATTACGGAACAGTTGAACGCGCACTGCGCACTGCTGCTGTGTCCACGATTATCTTCTAATGGTGTATCTTAAAGGCCCATTTACACGGTGCCAGTTTCTTGCCTGTTGTATACAATTAAATTGAAGCAATAAATGAGTTGCATGGTCTAAACAACAAAGGCTCTAAACAATTATTGCGCGCAATTTATTGCATTCAATTATTGCTCTGGTATGTACAAGAAAATGGCATCGTCTAAATGGGCCTTAATACACCCCCATTTATAGCCACCAGCGATATTAATGAATGGTGTTATGGAGTGTGTCACGTGTTCGGGAGATGTCACCTTATGTCAGCCAATATTACAATATATCATTGCGAATACCGAAATAGTTCAAAATATATTATATATCAAATACGGCGTGTTACCAACGCGACAATAAAATAACACACATATAGAGGATAACTTTTTAAAATTGTGTCAAAAATTTACATTCTTTAAACATCAATATTTACAGAGTTATTAAATTTTCCAAAACAAAGAATTGTAGAACATCCTTACGTATAAAACTGTAACGTAAAGTTCATTTGTAAAGGTCACACAGCATATGAATGGGTTGAATGAATTTAAAGAGACAAAACATACTGTTAGGAGAGCCTTGCAATGCGACGCCGTAGCAAACGAATGAAAAAGTCTCTGGATGTATGAATCAGTCAGTTGTAGTTGTATAGGATGTTACAAATTTTGTTTCTTTTTTACTTAATTAGTTTGTTTGAAAAATATTTTCTTTTAATTATGGTTTTTTTTAACGTTCATATTTTTTATGATTATTGGCAAGTAGCGTTAGACATGTGTTCTTTTATTGTTGTGATGGTAACGACACGCTATATATTTCTAACTGTGTCCATTTTTTTATTAACCTCTAGATATAAATAATGTTATATAAAAAATGTTAAATATTTTAAATGACTCGTAAGTAATTATTTCCATTCATTTGAACTTATCTAAAAACGTGCATGATTTATGGGCAACTCATTTACTTTACGCGCGATCATTCATAACTAACACGCACACAAGCAAAAGTATACGACGCATTTAAGAATGACTACCGCATTGTCAACAAGTTCTGTTTTTGGGAATGAAATGGCAATAATTAAAAAAAAGTTTGTTTTTTATTTCAATAAACAATTATACTTCCGAGTCTGAACCTCTTGTGTAAATTTGGGCACCTTAAAAAAGGCCTCTCTGTATATAGTATACATCGGCGTTGCAGTTCCTACCGCAGTAGGAGCCGAGTGAACTCTTTTTAACGTTGCACCAAATATTACAATGAAATGTTACCCGCTCTTTATAACTTATATATAATATGTTCATGTATGCCGGGTTTTATTGTTATGTTATTTTCGTGTGATTTGATTATAATTTTTAGTTGTGTCATGTGTGGAGCAGTGCAGTCCATGGCCCATCACCACCTGTTCGCAGCAGGATCTGATGGATGCCATAAATTGTGCTATCGAAGTGGCTAAGTTCTGGGCTGGAAAGATATGATTTGTCATCGACTAAAAGAAGAAGTTGTGTGATGGTAAATAAATGTCTCTCTTTCATTCTTTCTTCTATATTAGGGTCAATGTGCGAGAAAACCGATCTCATCCATAAAAAGTTCAATTAATGCACGGTCTAAATTCCAACGTAAGCAAACAGCGCCACTTGGTCTTTATGGCCGTTTTGCGGCTGCATCGTGTGATTTCGTCCGCTGAGTAGCGTTTTCGAGAAGGCTATATTCGAAGGAATGGGGACTGGCCATATTTTTCCGGTGAGCATGTAGCTTAGTGGTGTAAATCGCACACACCTACACCAAACATTTGTACCAAGAAGTCCATTTATCGAGTTTCGCGCGTTTCAGTCAGAAAAGTACAGTTTTTTTTGTCAACTTCGAATTAAATTAACGATCCAATTTTTGTTTTATATCAGGTTTAGGATCACTTACTTAGTAAAATCACAAAATGATGCTGACAGATTCCGGTAGCTTCAGTGGCAATCTTGAGAAGATGTTTTTGGCTGATATTTCTGAAACTATGCACTTTTGGGGAAAAGTCATAGAAACACTTATTATAGGAAATCAAATTTCCCTTTAATTATTTACTCATTCGTAAAAGCTTATGGCTTATTTAATGAACAGTTTTTTCTATCTCTATATTTATATTTATTGTATTTCTATATATATAGAAATACAATAAATATAAATATATAGAAATACAATAAAATATATATATATATATATATATATATATATATATATATATATATAGACTCTAGTATAGTATTGGATTAATCAATAAAATGAGTCTATCCATTTCTTTAGAACCTTTATCTGAACTTTTTTTTTAATGTTTATACTTTTTGAGCTATAGGACGTTTAATGTTGAACTGTATAAAATTTCAAGGTATGCGTATTTGTAGTCTAAATCTTCAAGGTATGCAAAATGCATACCTTCAAATTTTAGACTGTAAAAATTCAAAAAAATTAAGGTATATTATTGTTTAGCACGATGGCAAAGGAATAAAAAACAAATAGATGTACTAATTCTTAAAGATGCGTTGCAGGCGCGTGCTCTTTTAGAACGTTGATTTAGCTATAAACGTTGTTATTGGTTGTGAATGAGTCGCTATTTATTGCGTATTCCGCAATTAAATTCCCGACGGGGCGCCACGGTCACCGGTTCGAAGCCGCGTACTGTCTACTCGCTGATGAAAAGGCGGTAGGTATTTATTTATATTGCGTCAATATGCGGAGGACTGTTTGGGGTCGGCCCTGACTGAGACGAATGGTGCGGCGGCGCGTCGCATCGCATCGCCTCGCTTCGCGGCCGCCCGGTCGGACAGATCTCAGCTTTCCACGACCAGGTGGATTTTTCTTTCTTACGATAGCGATTCACAAAGGACTTTATGTTAAATGTTTTTTGGTGTACTGTATTAAAACAATATATTTTACTGGATGACCTACTTGTTGAGTACTATTTACAACCTTGCAAATTGGCTGGAATAAACGAAACAGTAGGGCTCTCTTGGTATAGTGAGAATAATATTAAAAAATAAATTTGCTATATTTATAAACTATCAATAAACTTTATTTAAGAATATGTTTAAAAAACCGCGTTATTGATTATAAAAAAGACGCCACAATATATTTTTAACAAATGTCCAAATGTTCAAATTACGTTTAAAACGTTTTCAATTAAAGTATTAAAATTCGCAAGAATGGTAGAATAAATATGAATAAATTACAATTCGCTAAAAAAAACTGTACCAAACATTTACAAGCTGGTAAAAAATAAACAACGAAATGCATGATAACGTACCTTTTTATTTTGCCTGGCGGGCGTGAGGCCCACCTGGGAGCCCATCTCGGCGAGGATGTTTTTCGGCATCTTGTCACACTTAGGTAGTCTGTATCACTGTAATAATTGTGTTTCACACTACGGTCCACGGCGGTCCACGGCGGGGTGCGTGCGCGGCGTGCGCGCAGCTCTGCGAGTGAGTGCCGGCGCGCGAGCGCTCGTGCACTTATACTAGCGCGCGTGACGTCACGGCCGCTGAGCTGGTTCACGGCTCGCCATCGCACCAAGTCCCTGCACCGGGGAGATCTCTCCCTCGCGAGTAGCGATCTTACCTCACGTGGGAGCCCCGAGCCGCTCTGTCTCGGGGCCACCGGGCTGCGCGAGCGCACCACGTGCTCTCGCCCCCGTGCCTCCTACTTGAAGTCGCAGCTTCAGCTTCTCCGCAGTTTTTTTTTGTTTCAGTCAAATCACCTATCGGTTCACGGCTTATTATCACAACTCGACTGCATCTCGATGCAACGCAACCAATACATGTTCACACTGTACTCACATAACTGCCGTAAACAAACTATACTTATATTTTTGCTCATTTGTACTTCCGTTTGAAATTATTGCTTCCGTCTAAAAATAATTATAATAATATTTGTGTATTTACTCCACTAATTGTACATCATAACTTGGTATAATGGAAAAGATCTTACATATTTCAATAATGAAATTGTACACTTGTTTTTGTTCACCGGAAACTGCTGCAAAAGGTGAAGACGAAGGCAAATAGATGGAATTGCCAATTTTTAATATTTCTAAATGCAGTGTCTGCACAGTAATCCACATGCTAACAGACAAGACAAGGTCTTTATGAACTGTCTTTTTTATTGTCTCTTGTCCAGGGAGTTTTTCGAGTCGTTGATTGACACACGTAAAGAAGAGAATAAATAGAGCTCAAAAAGAAAAGTCATTCCGTTATTTAGCATAATCTAGGAAGGTGTAAGTTTGGTATTTGGTCCTGGGATATGCTTTTGTAAAAAAAAGGATACTGCATGGTTGGAGTAAAGATTCGAGTATGAATATAAAATAGGTACCGCGCAGTCTCGCCAACTCAAATGAAGGCGGTAAATGCAACGGAAATAAGCCACGCCATTTTACTTACGATATGCGATTTTTATACCGTGTAGAGGATAGAAACCGACGACTCCCGGGCACAGGGAAATTTGATTCTGTGCTCCCGGGCACAAGGAGTTTTGTGGTACAACAATTCGTTGAAGCATTTTGCCAAACATTTGAATAGAACGTAAACATTTCACCGTAGACATGTGAGAATAACCAATTTTCCGCCTCGGATCCTATATAATTGATTGCGGAAAAACAAAGAAATAAAATATGTTTATAACAAAGTTATGCGGGGACGTGCGCCGTTTTGCAATGTTTGTGTCTTATGTATTCTTGAAGAACGTCATACTTTATTCACATAGTACCTACTAAATAGTTAAATAATTTTTGTTACTATCAGTGTCGTGCTCGGAAAACGGATTGCTCATTTAACGATATAGGTATATAGACCTTACCAATTACTAATAAAGGGTTCAGACATAAATTCACAAATAGCAGTCGAGTATATGAAAAGCTTGGCTTTCTGACCTTTGACATTGTATTTGCAAATTGAAAGGGAAGCTTGAGTTTGCATGAAGCGATCAGGATTGTGGATTGCGATATCAACGCAGAGATAAAGGTGCCAGAGAGTGACAGTAAGGCGCGAATGACCACCTCGCAATTGCGATACGAGGAGTGTTTGTTGTTTGTGAAGCCCTTAAACCAGTCAAGTCAATGTGTCAACATTGACTGGTTTGACATTGGTGGAAACATTGTGAGAGGCCATTACATTTCTGTCTATTTTTTTTTATTCAGTGTATACAAAATTTTGTATGGATTCCGTTTTAAGTAATATAATTTATCAGTGTGGTTAGTTCAACCTTTTAATTGATTTTTTTCAGTATGTCTTATTAGGTAAAATGGTCATAACGGCCGCCCACGGACATTTGCGCAACACCTGTAGGATTGCAGATGCATTGCCATCTTTTCATAGAGTGGGACACTCACCAGACGAAGCGCAGAAGTACAAAACATCTACTTCACGTCGGTCTTCTGTGACGTACTTCCTCGAACGGTACTGCCCATTCATGCAACAGCCTCGGCTGTTAGGTGGCCCTATACACATTAATGAAAATAAAACCTAGCTAGATCGATTTATCCCCCCCGAAATTCAGTGCATACTAAATTTCAAGAAAATCATTGGAGCAGTTTCTGAGATTCAGATTATATATATATATATATATTAATTTAGTTTAAAGGTAATAGATAGAAAGATAACAGTCCACAAAATAGTGGTATGCTTAGGATTCTTAGAAAAAAAGGGCCGATTATTTCTTATTCTATCTATTAAGGCAAAATAACACAAAATACACCTATATTCATTGTTTATATCGAAAGATAGCCTGACCCACTAACTTTTCGCTAAAGTAAATTGACTAAGTGAATTCAGACTTTTATTATTATTAAGGTTTTTATTTTTATTTATTTTACTTAAAAGAGTAACAAGATAATCCCTTATACACTCAGCTGAATCATTACTTCTTACCGTAAAGTAAAGATGAAGCCATAACTAGGCAAATAATAGCATAGAGTATCAGCCTATACGTGTCCCACTGCTGAGCAAAGGCCTCCTCTGTATAGAGGGTATAAGGGCATAGTCCACCACGCGGCCCCACTGCGAATTGGCGGACTTCATATATCTTTGAAAGATTTTTTTATTATTATTATTATTTCGAAAATTTGCAGGTTTCCTTACGATATTTTCCTTCACCGCTGAGCACGTGATAATTCAGCACTTGAAATTAACAATTTCATTGGTGCCGGCACCGGGGATCGAACTCGAGTATATTGAATTAAAGGATAGCGCCCGGACACTGTGCTAACATGGCTCATAGAAGCGTGATTAAAATTAGGAGAAACCAATTTTTGTACATAGATCAGAAGCGACTTTTACTCGTATATTCTTTGTTGGCAAGTGCGTGGCTTGTGTATACATTTTTGGTAGTCCAAAAACATAGGCTTAATCGTTATGATTGTTGTAATATTCTATTGCACCCAACGATGGTACAGCCACGCAGCAGCCTCGGCTGTTGCACGAATGGGCAGGCTCGTCCGGGTAAGTACCACGACCTCACCGAAGACAGGCGTAAAGTGGAAGTATAATACTTTCGCGTTTCGTCTGGTGAGTGAGGTGGCCGGAGCCCAATTTCCAAAAGGTTGTCAACACATCTGGAACCCTCTAGTGTCCACTGTAGATTTCCAAGGTCGGCGGTGTTCACTTAACATCAGGTGAACCGTCTGCTCGTTTGGCAACTTTTCACATAAAAAAAATTAATGTTTATGGAAAAAGTAAATTAGGGGATCTCCAGCCGATTCACATAAATTTATTCCTCTCAGTTTTTAGTCCTTTTTTATAAAATCGGCGACTAATTATTTAACAACAGGCTTATAGCATCTAGTGCTCACTGATGTATTATAGAAGTAGTAGAAGAAGTAGAAGGGTAATGTTACGGGGTGGCGTGCAGCGAGAGTCTTCATTGAATAAGCCGAGGTCCCATCCCAGGGGCCATGGCGCCTAGTTCCTTCATGGAGCGTCTACCATAGCGACCCCTAAGAGCTCGGCGACCTCTCAATCCGGCACTAACATTTATAGAATGACTCGAGCACTCCTGAGGGAGCTTAGTGACTCATAAACGAGGTTCAGATTAGGCACCTTAAGTGGCTGGCCACGTCAAGCCCTGTGGATCTGTAAAAGCCTCCTTAAGGCCAACAGAGAACGAACCAATTACCCATCCCACTCGAGCGTTTAAAGTTGTTTAATTAACAGGACCTCACGGAACGTTGTAATTAACTAAGGCCAGCGGCGCAGCTCTCACATGCCCATGGTTTCAGTGATAGCGATGTTTCTATAATAATAGACGGATTCTTAGAGATCATTACAAGGAGACTTTCTTTTAAATATTCTTAAATTAATCACATATAGGTACTTACATCATAAGTAAAAGTTCACAGTAGGGTTAGGGTTTAAATTGAGCATCAAACCGGTGTACGTGCGGCAAATTGCCAAGAGCACTAGAAACATTCTGCGCTCAATGACATTTAGGAGGGTCGATAATTTTTGTAACAAACAAAAATACACTATGATGAAACTCATTGGAAAAGGGGAATATTGTAAAAATGAAAGGAAAAATAAATTACGTACAATCTGAGTTGGGGAATAGGGGGAACTTATTTTGTACTATTTGCAGCTTGTACAAGCGAGTAGGGTGCGTGTGGGCGAAGATCATGCATGCGTAGGACATAATAGGTCGTACGCAGGTCTTATATAATAATAATTTCTGCCTTAAGGGCATTTTACTTTTAGCGTTAGTTAAATTGTGTAGCCGGTCGGAGACGAACGCGGCTCTATTACGAACGTTATTAATGTGCGTAGTAAATGACATACGCGAGTCGAAAGTGACTCCTAAGTATTTGACCTTTTTCTCCCAGGGGAGCGGTTGGCCATAAAGGGATATTTGCCCCAACTTAATGCATTGGCGAGGACCATTATAAAGATGTGACGGGTAAGTACTTCGTGTGAAGTGAATCGCCACACGCTTTTCGGGATTTATTTCTATTCTCCATTTGCGGAACCAATCGCCGAGACGGTCGGCGGCGCTTTGGAGTCGAGTGTTTAGTATTCTAAGGTTGCGGTCTGAATAAAAGAGCGCGGTGTCATCCGCGAAAAGCGCGAGATTGACGTGGCGGTCTTTGGGTATGTCACTCGTGTAGAGCGTAAAGAGCAAAGGTGAGAGGCAGGAGCCTTGTGGTACGCCGGCCGTGAGGCGGCGGCTGGTGGAGAGGGTGCCCTCGACTCGATATCGAAAAGAGCGATTAATAAATAATAATAATAATAAAATATCTTTATTCACATAGACGCTTGCGCGTTCTTATGAAACGTCAAAATTTTACAAGAAATTAACACGTTCGTAAGTTACCACCGGTTCGGAAAGCAGTTTCTGTTGAGAAGAAACCCGCAAGAAACTCAACAGTTGCTCTTTTTTAAAAAATCAGTTTACAATATAATAGTACAGGTACAATAGTCTTGTTTTAGCCTACGTGAGTATCAACAGTATTAACCCCACACATTGGCGTCGTCAAGATATTCGGCAATAGTATAATAGGCTTTAGCCATAAGTGTACTTTTAATTTTTCGTTTAAATTCATCAAGTGGCAGACTTAACATCGACTGTGGGATTTTATTATACATGCGCACACTTTGCCCCATGAACGATCTGTTTACTTTTTGTAGGCGAAATAATGGCGTAGTTAGTTTGTCCTTATTTCTAGTATTTAGTTTATGTCTGTCACTATTCTTTTGATAATTATTAATATTCTGTTTAACATACAAAATATTACAATAAATATATTGAGACGCAACAGTGAGTATATTAATCTCTTTAAAAAGATCTCTGAGTGTATTCCGGGCTCCGATGTTATAAATTGCTCGGACAGCTCTTTTTTGAATAATAAATATTGAATTTATATCAGATGCACTACCCCACAACAAAATGCCGTACGACAAGATGCTGTGAAAATAACTGTAGTAAACAAGTCTGGCAGTGTCGATGTCTGATAGCTGCCTAACCTTCCTAATTGCAAAAACAGCGGAGCCTAACCTATTCGCAAGAGATGATAGATGGGGACTCCATTGGAGCTTTGAATCTACTGTGATTCCCAAGAATACAGCGGACTCAACAGGATTAAGGGTTACGCTATTCAATTTTAAGCTAAAACTTTGCCTTCTTACGTTGGGAAGGGCAAAAAGAAGGCATTTAGTTTTTTTTAGCATTTAACACCATATTATTAATGGTAAACCAGTGGAGGATACGCGAAAGTGCACTATTCACGTCGTCATAATTCGATACATTTCGGTCAACCTTAAAAATAAGCGATGTGTCGTCAGCAAACAGTACAACATCACATAACTCACTGGCATAAAAGGGGAGATCATTTATATATACTAAGAATAATAATGGGCCCAAGATCGATCCTTGTGGGACACCCATTTTCATGGGGGACCCTGCGGAATTTACATCATTTAAAGATACTTTTTGAATTCTATCATTAAGGTAAGAAGCAATGGGATTGAGGGCGATGTCACGAATGCCGTAATAATCAAGCTTTAGAAGGAGGGTTTTGTGATCCACGCAGTCGAAAGCTTTTGAAAGGTCGCAAAAAATACCTATTGCATCTTGCGACCCTTCCCAGGCGTTATAAATATGTTTGACAAGTGCGATACCCGCATCTGTTGTCGATCTGCCTTTAGTGAATCCATATTGCTCATTGTGAAAAATTTTGTTCATATTAAAATGTACTAAGAGCTGATTTATGTAACCATGTCTCTGTGAAGCAGATGACATGGATGTTAAATCTTCTAAGAAACAGCTCAATTTCAGGTTCTTTGCCACCTATGCCTTGTATATTTTGGTGTACAATATTTAATTTAAGTGGCTTAGGTGTTGTCTCAATGTTTAGTTTAAACTAACATTGTTTTTTGTAAAATTATTGCTAAGTAAAATGTTCTTAGTTGTACAATGTACAACTGGGTTTTGTATATTATATGCTACTAAAGTAGCAATTATTTTCTTATAATATAATGGCAAATACCAAGTATTTTTGTCACCTTAAAACTAGACTTAATAAAACTATTTATGTCAAAATAAAAGAAAGCGTCACTATGACGGTGAGTTGTATTATATATAGTCATGTTAAGACTATATATGTCTTTATTTTGTTCCTCTGTAAGGAAGGAGGAATATGGAAATGCGCATATTATAAATTTACACTTAGTCTTGTAATGTAAGCCCAGTAATATTTCCATATTATTGATAATTTCCTGTTTCCTAACAGATGAACTATCCCCATGAAGTACAATAGTACTATTTTCATTTACATTCAATGTCAAGATTTTATTAATATTTTTCTGGAAACTGGCACCCGGTGAACATATATTGTATACATTATTTATATGTTTTGAAATTAGCGAACCAAAACCTTGCCCTATGTTATCTGATACAATTGTAACATTTTGTTTAGTATATATTTCATTTTCATTGTTATTATATGACGGTTGATTGTATTCATGTATGACCAAGTCACTTCCTATGTCCTTAGGTATATTCTGAGTTTTTAATTTGTTTGGAGATTGTGATTTGGAGCAACAACATGTATTTTTGCTTGTAAATGATTCAAATCTATTATAATTATAATTACCTCAACTTGTAATGATTCAACAAAAAGGCCCGGATGGTGTGTACGAGCCTATCTGGCACTTTGAGTGTGTATAGCTTGTAAAGTAAGCCGTTGTGCCAGACCTTGTCGAATGCCTTTGCAACATCGAAGAAAAGCCCCTGTACTGATATGTTTCGGGTGGTTTAGGCCTTTTAGGATGTGCTCCGTTAGGCTGTATAACTGGTCGGGACAAGAGTGTCTAGCTCGAAAGCCGAATTGTTCCGTCGGCAGAAGGCCGTTGGAAAATACGTGCTCTTCGTCGTCCGGAAAGGAGCAACTGGAGAGTAGAATGTTGAAAATGGTCGCGAGTAAACAGATAAGCGGCCCAGGGAGAGATTTGGGAATTTTGTTACTGATATTATCTGGGCCCAGGGCGGATTTCGGTTTTAGATTTTTAATAATATCTTGGACCTCTTCGGGGGTCACTGATTTTAAAGGTTCGCCTTCCGGTGGAAGCGCAGCCCTAGTCTCGATACCGCGGACCACCTCCGTTAGGTGGTATGTATCGGTGTGTTCGCGCGATGGCGTACATTGCTGCTCTAGGTTGTCCGCAAGGCATTCGGCTTTTTCTGAGTCGTCTAGGGCTACTGAAGCGCTATTAGGTCTAATTAACGGCGGTAGAGATTCGCGGGGGTCTGCTTTCAGACTGCGGGCCAACCGCCAGTAGGCGGTGTGTGATGGCTCGATGTCCTCTAGGAGAGTGTCCCACGTTGTATGTCGGTGTTCCGATACACGATCTTTGACTTCTAGCTGAAGGCGTCGAAGTAGGGTTCGGTTCGATTCCGATCGGTGTCAGTCGAAGGCGCCTTTGGCTGCATTTTTCTGTCTAATTAGCAGTCTTAGGTCGGGCGGAAAGTTAAACCGTCGGTCGCCCGACAGTTTCACCGTCCGTTCCGAGTCTGCGACTGTGGAAGTAATAGTTTCGCGTAGACTCGCTATCGCTCGATTTGCGTCATCGAACGTAGCTATCGTCTCTACTAAGTCCTGGGGGTCCAAGGCCTTGAGTTTGACCTCAAGACGATGCCAGTCCACTACGGGTTTGGTCGGAGGGACCGCGCGCGCTTCTGGCCCAGTTTACACAGGACGGGCCTGTGATCTGAGTCTAGTTCATGAATTGTCTCTATCGACTCGATGTCGAGCGAGACCTCCCTGAATAACATGATGTCTAGGACACTCGGTGATGCGTGTTGGTAGTTGTCCACCATAGGATACCTAGTGGGAGTCGCGGGAGCGACTATACTAAAGTTTAGGTTATCGGATAAGCT